AACAAGTGTAAATTAAAAATTAAAAAAAACCGACTTCAAAAACGTGCAGATGCCATCACCACATCTTAACCAAATTTATATGGGATCACCCCTGAGGTACTCCCTTACTAACAAAAAAATCTGATGTGTCCAACACATGACTTTCCTATCTAGTTATATAAATGTTTAGAGGATAAACTAAATATATACATTGTCCACATATATCTACCTCGAAACATTTTTCTATAGATATTCATGGAAAACGAAAATACTGAAAAATTTTAATTTCCTACAATTTTTTCATTACGGTCCATTTTAGAAAAATCATGTATAAACAAAAATTATAGAGATCGATATCGCAAACAACTTTTATTTCAAAAACTTTCATAATAAAAATCAGAATTTTGCACATTTTGTCAAATTTCTCGAATACGGGCCGTTTCAGGAAATTTTTACATAAAACAAAAATTACAGATAATAATATTAGAAGTAACTTTTATTTGAACAATTTTCCTCTCCAAACATAAATAACAGATATATTCCATAAAATATAAAAACGGCCTCCCATAAAGTACCCCCCAGATGTTCCGACTTTGTCCAAAATCTAATCATTTCACGTCAGGCCGAAATAAACCTTAAGTTTAAAATTTAATGTTTTTTTCTTTATCCGTTTTTGAGTTTTCTTCAAAATTCGAAATTTACACATTTTCTCAAATATCTCGAATACGGTCCATTTTAGAGAAATTATGTAGAGAATAAAAATTATAGAGAATTATATTACAAACAACTTTTATTTGAACAATTTTTATAAAAAAATATTTTTTTTACATTTTGTCAAATTTCTCGAATACGGACCATTTTAGGAAAATTTTGTATAGAACAATAATTATAGATAATAATATTAGAAGTAACTTTTATTTGAAGAATTTTCTTCTCCAAACGTAAATAACAGATATATTCCATAAAATATAAAAATGACCACCTATAAAGTACCCCCCCAAATGTTCCGACTCTGCCCAAAATCTAATCAGCTCATTAGACGCTGAAACAAAGCTTAAGTTTAAAATTTGGTGTTTTTCTGTGTATCGGTTCATGAGTTATGCGTTATACAGACACACACACACACACACACACACACACACACACACACACACACACACACACACACACACAGACACACACACAGACACACATACACACAGACATCATCGCGAAAATAGTCAAAACGGATTCAGGGGACCTCAAAACGTAAAAATCCGTCGAAAACTCGAGGTCGAAAAAAATCATGATTCCTATACTTTCCTTATATCTGTATACAGATAGGAAAGTAAAAAGAATCATATAAATCGGACAAGGTGGTAAAGCATTATCGCTAAACATACATAAAAAATGAAGAGTTTGAGGATTTTCTCATGGACCCAATTTTTAGATTTTGACCAAATTTATATGGGACCACCCCTGAAGTAGCCCCTTTCTAACAAAAAAAGAATCATATAAATCGGACAAGGTGGTAAAGCATTATCGCTAAACATACATAAAAAATGAAGAGTTTGAGGATTTTCTCATGGACCCAATTATTAGATTTTGACTAAATTTATATGGGACCACCCCTGAAGTAGCCCCTTTCTAACAAAAAAAGAATCATTGAAATCGGACACCGTGTTAAAGAATAATCGCTGAAAAAAAAAAAATATCGCGACGAATTGATAACCTCCTCCTTTTTTGAAGTCGGTTAAAAATAGAACTTTTAAATAAGATAATACTTTACAGAAACATTGATATTAATAAACTGAAAACATTGTTAAATTAGATTACTTTAATTGAGATAGAAATTAAATGTTAAATAAATGCATTTTTTATGTGAATATAATTGTTTAAAAAAGGTAGGTATGCAACATATAATACGCTGTTCGACCTAATTGGTTGTTAAACAGTCAAATAACTTAAATAACGTACAAAAAACATTATATGAGGCCATTACAAATATTTCATTTTCCAACAAGTAGCGTTTAAAATTGTTTTAATTATATAAGTTTTTAGAAGGGGTCCGAATCCCTTTGACTCCTTAGTATATTAGAAAATTGAATTTATTTAAAAACAGGAAGCTTCTGAAATGCTACATTTGTTTTGAACTTTTTTTGTCTACTAGTATTTAGTTGTGAAAATTATAGGCCTTAGAAGGAGGATCATAGTGAAAAATACAAGTTTTTTTAATTATTTTTTTTTTAATATTTTACATCTTTATTGTTATCGATAATTCAAGAGAATAATATTAAATAAAGTTGTAAAACGAAAAAAAAAATCACTCTGACCTTCTTTTTGGTATCTATAACTTCACAAATAAATACGAGGAAACAAAAAATTCAAAATGGATGCGAGATTTCAGTGGTGAATTTTATTGTCTTAAAAAAGTAGGGGGTAAAAGAGGTGTGGAACCCTTTAAAAAAATCTATACAATTAAAACAGTTTTAAATACCAATAATTCCATTTTATTACTTACTGTGTACTAACATTCTGTGGACATTTGCATAAAAATATGTTAACCCGTTTTATATGACGAGCACAAAATCACCTCTAAAATTTTAACTTTAGCACCTTGTGACTATTTTACTATTATTTTTTTATGTAAGTTAGTTTGAATATACCTATTTTCGATTCCAGAAACTTTGGTTAAATTTACTATACATTTTCTTGTTTCACCCTGTATATACAAGGTGGGTCAATTATTTCCGCTCGGAGCTTAGCAGCAAAACTATAAAATTGAGAAAATAATTTCTAATTGAGTAGTATATTGCACCAAAGGAGCTTAATTTCTAAAATAAATTTTAGTACACAGGGTGCTCCATAACCACAAGAAAGTTATCAAGATATTTTTGTAAAAGATTCATGCTATATTTATTTTATTATTTTATTCTCTAATTAGAGTTTAATTTATCTAGAAAACTATCGTAAATAGAGCAGCACTGTTACCAGTAGGGTCTTATAGTCCAGAAGAAACATCCATTCACCCGTGGCACAAAAAATAAAAGGAGACAAAATATATAACAAAATAATCTCTTATTGGTATAGTTGAGCGATTTTACCAACGGGTTAAAGACTCTGATAGTCCTAGGTTACGTTAGGTTGTGGCTCATGACTAACTTATAGTTCACCGTACAAGCCACACCTTTTGATAGAGGTCATGGTTGAATTGGGTGAGACTTCTATAAAGTCGGTAGGCTCCATTTGGGTAAATCTGAAGACCTGGAACCTGTTTCTTCTCAGAGCGGAACAGGTACATAAAATGTGCTCTACAGACTCGTTCTTCACGCTGCAGAATCGACAGTCCGATGTTTGTTGCAGACCAATCCTTCTCATGTGGTTGCCCAGACGGCAGTGTCCTGTCATCAGTCCAGTGAAAATGCGTAGATCTTTTCTATTCCATTCTCGGATCTGAGCAGAGGCGTTCATAGAAAGGTTGAATATAAACGCCTTTAAATGGGTTCGCCCTGGGGTATCTCTCCAGTTTGTGAGTGTTGCACCCTCCGTCCATTTTGAGATAATTCCTTTGGCAGTGCTTTTTGCAATGCCCAGGAATGGTTCTGGTCCTATGAACACTGATTCAGTTCCTCTTTTAGCAAGTGCGTCGGCTTTTTCATTGTCTTCCAAACCACTGTGTCCCGAAACCCAGATCAAAGTAACTTTGTTCCGGGCACCGAGGCATTCTAGGGTATTTATACGGTTCCAAACCAGCTTTGAGTCAACTCGATTGGAGCTCAGGGCCTTAGAGGCTGCCTAGCTAACTAAAAAGATCTTTATAGTCTTGTTTGCGAGAAGAAAATTAATCAACTCTCTCGCTCCCAATTCTATAGCAATCATTTCTGCTTGGAAGATCGCTGCCAGAGAGCCTAGGTTTATTGGTATGTCAACTCTAGGCCTCTGGCTGAAAACTCCCGCTTCTACTCTTTTTTTTCAGTTTTAGAGCCGTCCGTGTACAACGCCTACTATAAAATAAAAATATTGTGTGGTTCACTTTATATTTACAGCAGTAATTGTCAATTTTTAACTAATTATACTTGAATAAAACGAGATATTCAAGATAGATAATTTAAAAACAATCTAGTTTATTTTTAAATTATTAATATTATATATTAGCGCAAGATGTATACCAAAATGCAAAAATGGCAAAACTTTTAATAATGACCGACCAATGAAAAGCTTATCTTTATAAAGAGAAAGGTCTAGACGACATTATTATAGATGAAACGGATGCTTCAGAAATTGAAGAAACAATCTTTTCTGTTCCAAAAAAAGGTATATATTTCATTAAAATGTTATGGGGATCATATTTTAAATATTTATTTATAAAATTTAGAACCCACTGAAAAAAATGTCATCGAAGAAAAATACAAAAGAATTAAATAACAGAAGCAATTTGAAGAGGCACCTAAATTCAAGTTTCAAATAAAAAAACTAAAAACTTTTAAAACGCAGCATATAACCTAAGAATAAAAAACTAAAGCTAGACCTTAATTCAGATTCAAGTGAACATTAAAATATCGAAGAAAATAAGGTGCAATAAAATCAAATAGAATAAAGTACCTAGGTCAAGAATATATTTTCAATACTAATTCTCAATTTGTATTTGATTTTTTTAGAAGCCACAGGGAGCAGAAAGAGTTGAGAGAATAAGAAAAAATGTTATGTTAAAGTATTTTAAACATTTTATAAATAAAAGATAAACTCCTAAAAAACAGGAAGTTGAAGGATTTAAGATTAATCAATATAAAGATAACTAACATGTAGCTAACGATTTAAATTTTTCATTTATTTTTTTATTCTTTAAAAATAAATAGATCCTAATTTTTCTAATTTTAAAAAATATTTCAAACACGACCAAAAAATGTAAAATATTATGGATTTCTCATTTTAAAAATTTGTTTAATAATCTAGTCGTTATATTTAACATTATTTACGCCAATTTTGAAAAGGTAGAAAAAATAATAATTGAAAATTTCAATAAAGTATTTCACACTTTTTAGGCCGACTTGAAAGGCGATTTTTTATTAAGTAACTGGCCGTTGTGTCGCCAATGTTCCTTTTGCCTGTTAATATTTGATTGAACTATATTTTAAAAAGAATTGTCTTGTATTAATTTTTTTCGTCGATAACTTCATATAATGCGATTTTAGAAACGCATTTAGGTATAAAAAATGTGTGTTGTTTTACTCACAAATGGTTGAAGTTTAATCTTCGATCTTCTTCTCTTATTATGACATTTTTTAAACGTTTAGACGATTGATTCAAAAATTTAACATAAACTTCGGACAAAAACTGGGTTTTATGCCTTTGCCTGCTTGCTTGCTATAACCAGCAACTGCAAACTAATCCATAAAAAGACGTATTTTTGTCCTTGATAGACAAATAACTATTAGGCGACTATCATAAAAAATTACATTTTACGGCCTTAAAGTATCACTTTTTTGGCCGCATTTACTTTACAGCCACTTTTTATAAATACAGTTTTATCATTCTTATCGTTAGTAATTCTGTACAAATTTTGTTAGTTAACGATGGATATTTATTCGATCATTAAAAATTTAAAACAATTCTTTACTACTTGATGAAACAGTCGCCTAAAAAATTTCTGCTTTCTGATTCGATCAAAAAAGATAAAATTTACGGCCTTGGTATACTATCATAATTTTTTATCTGTTTCTGACAAATAATTACACCAATCCTTGTAATGGAAACAACAGTGTAGTTTGTTATTTACTGAAAACCTTATTAACAAAAAAAAGAAAATCGTGCATGTATTTAAGTAACTACATCTTTTTTGGAAACAGATTTAAATGTTATTCAAGAACTGAGATATTTAAAAATATAAAAATAGAGTTTTCTTTACAAAACTAGAAAACTTTAAATTATATTAAAAGTCTTACGCGGGAAAGTAATGGTTTTATTTATTTTGGGTTCCAACAGCTGATGCCTAGAATAATAAATCCTATTTATCAACATTTTATGTACGAAAAATCTGATGTGTCCAATACATGACTTTCCTATCTGGTTATTATAGTCTAACTCGAAACATTTTTCTATAGATATTTATTAGAAACGAAAATACTGAAAAATTTAAATTTAGCACTTTTTCTCCAATTTTTGCATTACGGTCCATTTTAGAAAAATCATGTAAAAACAAAAATTATAGAGATCGATATCGCAAACAACTTTTAGTTTAACAATTTTCTTAAAAATCAGAATTTTGCACATTTTGTCAAATTTCTCGAATACGGACCATTTCAGGAAAATTTGACATTAAGAAGTTGAAGCTACAGCTAGAACCAATGGCTGGGCTAAAAAGAAAAAGGCGGCTGCATTGATAGTGTCGCTGCGAGGACAAGAAGCAACCGTTTTACAGTTACTCCCTCAAGAAGAACCCAGTTATTCATCTCTCGTCCAAGCTTTGGAGACAAGATATGGCCAGCAGCATTTGAAACAGGTATTTCAAAGCCAGCTAAAGATTCGTAGTCAGAAACATAATGAGAGTCTACAGGAATTCGTGGCTGACGTAAGAAGATTGATTCATCTGGCCTATCTACAGGCGCCCAAAGATTTCTAAGAACAAATCGGAGTAGAGGCATTCATTTATGGACTACAAGATGCGGAAATGCAGCAAGTCCTTCGTCTATAACATCACAAGACGCTGAAGAAGAAAAACTGATTGCAGCCCAGGAATATGAAACGATAAAACTCATATCCAGATCTTCTCGCGCAAAAATGAGAGAAATTAAATCCCAGGAAAGTGAGGATACCAATGCTAATGCTATTCCCCAACCTACCCTCTCGCAAATATTAAATATTCCGCAAAATATATAACGAAATAGCCAAAATAAGAACAGAAGATGCTTCAATTGCGGAAGAATCAGGCACCTTCAAAGAACCTGTAGAAGCAGAGCTCGTTCTATAAATAGAGAATCAGGGAATGAGGCCGGAAAGTCACAAAGATCATTCTTTCGAATCCCGTCACGAAGTCCAACAAGAAATAGTCACAGCAGCTATGCGCTCCGAAGTAGCCAGTCACCCACACCGAGCCGGTTTTCTAGCAATAATCAGAAAGTAGAGCATCGTAGAGGCCATCTGTAGAGCATCGTAGAGGGCATCTGTATAGCAACGCAGACATTCTCTCCAGGCGACCCTGTTTAGATCGAGACTGCCAGTACAGTAAGGGGCTCGGAGAACGGGAGGAACTAGTTGATAAAGTTACCCTTCGGGCAACCACTATCAAGCCAGAGGGCGGCGAAGAAGAAATCACCCTTAAAAGTCTGAGACAGGGATAGAAGAAAGACAATGACTTAAAGGTTGTCTGAGAATGGCTCAAAAATAAAGTCACACCTACTTGGCAAGAGATAGCCAAATACAGTAGAACTATGAAAGGCCACTGGACCCAATGGGATTCCCTGTATCTTCACGATGGCCCATTCCACCGGAAGTGGGAGAGCCCCGATGAAGTGCATGTAGTCCGCTAGGTGAGAAATGTATTGGAGGAGCTTCATAGCAGCCATTTAGGAGGACACTTTAATACTAAAAGGACACTGGCGCAAATTCGAGAAAGATTTTATTGGGCCAATTGCCGACGGGATGTAGCGGATTGGTGTAAAAGATGTGATGTATGCAATGGCAGGACAAAGGTCTATGGATTCGCTCGGGAACGACTAAAAGCCCACACCGATAAAGCAAAAGCTAGAATCGACAGGCGTGCCTCAGCTAGGGGCGACAAGGTATGGCGGTGCAATCCCAAGCAGCGAGGAGGAGGACTTTGTCAGAAATCGCAAGGGAACTGGCGAGGCCCCTACTCTGTCCTTAAGGATAATCAACGACCAGATCTGCCACATTCAACTGTCAGCGGGAGGTAAATCCAACGTAGTTTACAGTGAAAAGATTACCCCATACCATGGTCCAGATCCTCCCCATTGACTTCAGCCAGGTCCCAGTAATCAAGTTATTCGGGGCGAATAACTAGAGAGGAGGGACCAATGTTACGCAGCACCCTGTAGCGTGCTGCGGTCGTCATAAGTAAAGGTACGAGTAAATAAAGAAGATAGAATAATCCAGAAATGCCTCGAAATGTCATTCCTTGTCAAAGAAAAGTCCAGATTGTTCTAGAAGGTTTTAGAAGGTCGAGGCAAGCTATATAAGTCGACGACCTGACGTCAGTGATTCAGTTTTATGATAAACGGTACATGTTAATTTTATCAGTTGAATAGTTGTTGTAAAAGTTGATTTCAAATTATTTGCGATACTAAAAACCTGCGTAACAATAATAATATTAGAAGTAATTTTTATTTGAGCAATTTTCTCTCCAAACATAAATAACAGATATATTCCATAAAATATAAATACGGCCTCCCATAAAGTACCCCCCTTGACTTTGTCCAAAATCTAATCATTTCACGTCAGGCCGAAATAAAACTTAATTTTAAAATGTAATGTTTTTTCCTTTATCCGTTTTTGAATTTACTTCAAAATTCGAAATTTACACATTTTCTCAAATATCTCGAATACGGACCATTTTAGGAAAATTTTGTATAGAATAAAAAATATTGATAATATTGTAAGTAACTTTTATTTGAAGAATTTTCTTCTCCAAACGTAAATAACAGATGTATTCTATAAAATATAAATATTACCACCTATAAAGTATCCCCCAGATGTTTCGACTCTGCCCAAAATCTAATCAGTTCATTGGACGCCGTAATAAAGCTTAAGTTTGAAATTTGGTGTTTTTCTTTGTTTATGAGTTATGGTGGATACAGACACACACACACGCGCGCGCGCGCACACGCGCACGCACACGCTCACGCACAAACAAACACACACACAAACACACACACACGCACACGCACAAACAAACACACACACACAAACACACACACAAACACATTCGCCCACACACACACAAGCCCACACACACACACACACACACACACACACACACACACACACACACACACACACACACACACACACACACACACACACACACACACACACACACACACACACACACACACACACACACACACACACACACACACACACACACACACACACACACACACACACACACACACACACACACACACACACACACACACACACACACACACACACACACACACACACACACACACACACACACACACACACACACACACACACACACACACACACACACACACACACACACACACACACACACACACACACACACACACACACACACACACACACACACACACACACACACACACACACACACACACACACACACACACACACACACACACACACACACACACACACACACACACACACACACACACACACACACACACACACACACACACACACACACACACACACACACACACACACACACACACACACACACACACACACGCGCGCGCGCGCACACACCCACGCACACACACACACACACACACACACACACACACACACACACACACACACACACGCGCGCGCGCGCGCACACACCCACGCACATGCACAGACATCATCTCAAAAATAGTCAAAACGGATTCAGGAGACCCCAAAACGTAAAAATCCGTCGAAAACTGGAGGTCGAAAAAAATCATGATTCCTTTACATTCCTTATCTTTAGATGAACAACGTTGCCATTTTTAAGGGTCTCGAAATTGACAATAACCTTGTTAGTTTAACGGATATACGAGGGCCTTGCGGTGTCAATAGAAATTATACACAAAACGAACGAATTACACCCTAGTAGGAAATATAGTAAACTAAAAACAATATAAAAGGTAAATATACACATCACATAAATCAAAAAATATATATATAACTTAAATTCAAAAATGCTGTAAGGTAGTTATTAAAAAATAACTTATTTAAAATAAAAACTGTGTTACAAAATAAAGGTGTTTAATGAACAAAATCGGATTCTAGACTAAATGTTATTAAAATGAAATAAAACAATATGTTATAAAAGTGCAAATGTGAATAAACTATAAAATGTCTATTAAGCAAACTGA